ATGATTTTAGCCTGTGGATTTGGTTTGTCCAAAGTACCGGAGTAGGTGAGCCCAATTACATTAGATAACATGCTAAAAATGTGAAGTTTTTGCCTTTTTGGTACCCGTTTAAATGGATCGGCCACGAAACACTTTATATATATATATATATATATATATATATATATATATATATATATATATATATATATATATATATATATATATATATATATATATATATATATATATATATATATATATATATATATAGAGAGAGAGAGAGAGAGAGAGAGATGAATGATCATTTGAGAACTAATAGTTTCCCGAGAACCTGAGAATTAAACGTGGAACGTTAGATAAAAAAAAAAAAAGGGTTAAGATGTAAGGTGATGTTTTTGTAAGTAGAAGAAAAAGGAAGGGTATATTAATTAATTTGATTAGGGGTATAATAGGAAATATAATTTTAATTAAATTATATCATGAATATGCTGATAAACTAAAATATCTATTGTTTTGATTATTTCAACCTCCATCGCCAATGATTCGCTCATCAAGCTTGTCCATTTCCCCTAAAATCAACGTCACATCCTCCAAATTGAAGTTATTGTTCCTCATCGATCTCTCATCTCCGACCGATTTTTAAGGCACCGACTCCGATCCTCTACAATTCCATCGAGATATAGAATTAATCATCTTACTGGAGCCACCGCTGGCCATTCAGAAGTTTAGATTTGTATCAATCCACACTCATAAAGTTTAGATCGTCTAGGGTTCCGTTTACCTCAGTCGAAGAAAAAGCGATGCTATTCTTCAAACATGTATTTTTCTCCACCATTCCCGATCCGAAAACCACCGTTGCCGGGGTAAGTCAAGAAATGGACACCACCGCAATCCAGTAATAGCAACAGTCTCTTCCATGTCATCCACAAAGTTCCCGCCGGTGATTATCCATACGTCAGAGCCAAACATGTCCAGGTGATCAATTTATTACTTTCTCTTTTCACCGATTGATGATTTTTATCATTTCTTGCAAATTCCTCTTTTTAGTTATCATTTTCAGAAAGGTTTCTAGGTTTTTCTTTTAATGTTCTTTTGGTAAAGAATCCAAACGAATGGTGGTTAATTTGTTCTTAATCTGGTGAGAAAACTAATTACATTTCTAAGGATCACAATCTATTCGATAAAATGCCAAAGTGAAACCACTCTGAACTAATCTTCTGATCTGCATAAGGGTTTATAAATTTACATGATGATCTTGTAATCTTTGTTGATAGTTAGTAGACAACAATCCAAGCAAAGTTGTAGAAATCCAAAAATGTAGAATCATGAGTCATATTCAAATTTTAGTTTTAATTTTTTGATGTTTTGGAATTGAATCAGGTTATTAGGGAACTTGTAGCAAGACAAGTACAAATTTGGACAACTATGGTTGTTTCTTTTTTACTTAGCTAAATTTATATAAAGTTCAACGTTGTAATTACATGTGATTCACACGTAAATCACATATGAATTACATGTGATTCACATGTAAAACACATGTAATTCACATATGAATTATATGTGATTCACATGTAATTTGGTGGGATGTCAATTCCACCAAGCAAATTACACTCTTTGTTTGCAAATAAAATGTAATATAATGGTAAAAAGGGGTATCGATCATCGGGGAAATGGTTGTATTCAATCACCAATACAATCTAAAAGAACTATTGTAAATAAACTAATTAACTACAATTAAATTAAAGTGTGTGTGTGTGTGGGGGGGGGGGGTGTTATGATTGCTTGGAAACTAAAAGATTATAATAACTAAAAACTTGCAATTAAGCAAGAAAGTGAGATGCTCAAATATTGGAGAGAATTGGTAAACCAAGGCAATTCAACACAATGAACGTTTGTGTGTTTATCATTAGGATTTAACATGAAGCTTATCATTCATCCCAAATTGGTTATAGCAATCATGAAGCATGATATGTCAAAATTGATCATAGGTATTATGGAGGTTGGGGAAGCCCACAACACACCTTCTTAATCAAAATCAAAGATCCAATTGAAGCAATTGAACCCAAGAAGTTGATTAGCCTTAAGAATGAAGAAATCCTCAATTCCTAGAGGGTGTCAATGCTTACACATCCATAAAGGAGTTATGATTCATAAGCTAGAGATGATTTCTACCATCATAAAGCTCTTGTTCTACGTAAATTCAATGATTTAATGCTAAACCAAAGAAATAAACCAATAATTGCTTATTAAAGTACCAAGCTCATGATCAAAGCACTAAACAAGCATAGGAAATATGAACTAGAATCATAGACATAAGATAAATGATAAATAAGCATAAATCCTTCAAAACCCCACAAACATTTAGAGGTTTTAGCTAGGGTCTACCAAAATAGAGACTTTAACCACTCATGGCAATAGAACAACAATCACAAAAGTGTAATTGCATAAATAAACTACCAATATCTTGGAAAGATGAAAAGAAATGAGTCTTGAGCTTCAAAATCGCCTCCTCTAGGTCTCCAATGGTGAAAAATCGAGAATGTGGCTGATAGATCTGATCCCCTAAGATTATGGTGTGCCAAATAACCAAAATGCCCAAACTGGGTAGTTGCGCGGGTACCCGCGAGACAAAGATCCCACATGCGCAAGTGTTGTTGTAATGCTTTTGGCTCCTCATTCCTCTTCTCCACCCTTTCACTACCAAAGATTCCTTTGGCCCCCTCTATATCCATGTGATTCAAATTAACCAATCATCTTTTAGCTTCAAATGTGGATGCTCCAAGCCCAAAATAACAATCCATGATCCATCTTCACAAGCCCACTTCATACAAGTTTTTAGCCTTTTAAGCCAAAATCTCCTTTAATGGATCCGCAAAGCCTAATAATGCCTCGAAAGCCCACAAAGCCCAACTCCAATCAAACCGCAACCGCAATGAGCCCCAAAATCTTGCAAAATTCCTCATGAAAAATAAAAAGTCCCCGATACGATCTTTGATAAAGAAAATAAAGAATATACAATGCCATATTAATAAAAAGAGCTAAAAATCTAAAATAAACTAATAAAAATAAGGAAATAAAATAAGCTATCATAATTCACATATGAATTACATTCGATTCACATGTAAATCATATATAATTCACATATGAATTACATATAAATCATATGTAATTCACATATAAATTACATTTGATTCGCATGTAAATCATATATAATTCACATATAAATTACATGTGATTCACATGTAAATCATATATGAATTACATGCGATTCACATGTAAATCACATATGAATTACATGTAATTCACATGTGATTCACATATAAATCACATGTAATTCACATATAAATCATATCTGATTCACATTCGATTCACATGTGATTCATATATAAATCACATGTGATTTACATAAGATGTCATATGTAAATGTGATTCACATGTGAATTCCATGTGATTCATATGTTAATCACATGAAAATCACATATTTATTTTTGTGAGTGCTTTCGTATCCATATTTTTTTTTAATTTTCTTGTAGATTTGGAAGAAATTGTGGTGAATATTGAAGAGACGAAAAATGATAAATTGAAGAAAATAAGGAAATATTGACACGAAGATATGAAAACGCTTTGAAATTTGTAGCATTTTTTATTTTTTATGTTTTATTTTGTATCGAATAAAATATTTGTACTATTATGTTTATAGATTAACTAATAAATATAAGATTTGTTGTGATTTATTTACAAATATTATAGTATAAGAAATGTACATATGTGCATTTGAAAAAATATGCACATATGCACCTAAAAATTGTTTTTTTTTTAAATGCAGGTTTTTTTAAACAAAATTGCAGATTTTTTTTTTAAATACAGTTTTTTTTTTTTTTTTTTTTTTTTTTTTTTTTCTTCTTCTGAAAAAATGTAACTTTCTTTAAAAAAAATGTAGTTTTTTTTATTTTTTAAAAAATTGCCGTTTTTTTTTTGAAAAAAATGCAATTCTCTTTAAAAAAATTGCATTTTAAAAAAATTGCATTTTTTTTGAAAAAAAAGTTGCAGGTTTTTTTTTTTTTTTTTTTTTTTTTTTTTATAAAAAAAGTGCAATTTTTTTGAAATAATTGCCGTTTTTTTTAAAAATAATTTTTCAATAATTTTTTTTTTCAAAATGTCATGTTTTCTATAAAAAATTAAAAAATCTGCATTTAAAAAAAATGAAAAATATTATTTTAAAAAAAATATGAAATTTGATTTATGATATAAAATTTTGGACATTTATATTGATATGTTAAATAACACAAAAAACTAAACATTAAATGAGATTGGTAAGATGACGATCGTGTCCTTAATGAATTACTTTTGATCCAACGCTCCACTATTAGTTCTCGGGAAACTTTGAGTTCTCAAACGATCTCAACTATATATATATATATATATATATATATATATATATATATATATATATTGAAATTATAAAAAAAATGTTGATTGGGGACAAAATAATGAAAGGCAGACATTAAGATGTAATTTTTTTTTTTTTTTCTTTGGTGTTGCATCTTGTTGCTCATTTCCCCACTTGGTGTTATAACACCACTTGCTTATGTGGCATGTGAGGTAGTGTTGCACCTTGTTGCTCACAGCCAATGCTCTTAGAATTTTCATTAAATATTGCAAATATAAACTACCAATCACTTTCATTTTTAAAAATTGAATAGATGTCAGGAAAACATACTTTATTACAAGAAATCATGACATTACAAAACAATTGGTACACACTACATATACATAGTACATCCGGATGGATTCAAATAATCGGGTTTTTTTTTTTTGAAATATGGGTTACTTGATTTACTTCAATAAAATTCGCATTATAGGCTGGACATTTACACTTAATAATTTTGTAAAGGCTAATTATATGATTCTATTCTGTTAATCCATACAATAATCACTATAAAAAAGCGAATCAAATGCCCTATAAATATCAAAACACCTTGTGGATAAAACGTAAACTTAAATTGTTTTATATTTAAAACTGCAAGAAAATTTTACTAAAACAGGAAAAGCCAGCGAGGAGCTGGAAAGAGTACATACACAGAAAAAGAAAGAAAAACAGACAGGACAACCACACTACACTTCTTCAAGAGTGGACTTTCGTTGGGAGCAACACCACCCATTAAATTAGTTGAAAACTACAATTATAATAAGTAAAGACTCAAAATATGTATACTAACTCCAGAACCATTTGATCAAAAAATTCCAAATCGAAATCAACATTTGCACCTTCTTTTAACACTCCATTTGACTTCTTCTTTGATCCATCATGTTCTAATAATTTCCTCCTAGAATCCGACCTTGAATCTCCTTTACCTGAAATTGTTCATATAAATCATCATCGACAAACGTTTTATTCGAATTCATGATCTGGGAATTCAACAAAATCAAGAACAGAAACCGTGATTCAATTTCCAGAGTCAAATTCTGTGAATTGGGATAAATTCATGATCACTCCTCACCTTTACATCCTGCTTCGAGACCAAGGATGAAGAATTTCCTTTTTTCAAGCTCTAAAACCATTGGTGTTTTACTGATGGATTGGCTTCTGGAGTTGGAATTTCTGTGATCTTGTTGACGATGAACTGAAGTAATCCTTTGTGGGATTGACTCCAGTCCCATTAGCTTCGCCACGATTCCGGGATTATATGAAGTGCAACGAAGCTCTGTTGATTCCTTGATGCGGTGGTGCTGTGTGGCAGCAAGACCACGGAAGCAGGACAGGCGGCGTAGAACTCCGGGAAGACAGCAGCCGGTTGCATGTTTGAAATTGGATAATTGGGTTTCAGATCGAAAGAATTTCATGGTGGTTTGATGATTACAATTGAATTCAGAGTAGTAATGATTTGAAAACTGAAAGAAAAAGAGATGTAAAGACGAATACCAGAAAAGGGAACAGGGAAAAGAAGTGTGGCGGGATATTCATTTGAATGTTGAGGGAAAGTATTTTAATTTATGTTTTTATGATCCTCTATATTGTATATTGAAAAAAATCTTTATTCATTTATGCGTTAATTTGTTTAACTTTAAAAAATATAATTTTTTTTGAAAACGACATGTAAGACTATAAGGATTTATGTAATTATGTTATGAGACTATGCGTATGTATATTAAAATAATAGTTTCGTTTACCTAATATAGAAATTGATTTTTGTAATTAATCAACCATTTTACCAATATAGAAATTGATCTTTGTTATTAGCTGAGGCTTTTATCTTACGAGTTTATAAGACGTGACGCAAAATATTGATTTTAAAAGTATGTTCCCAAAATTTTATTTTTTTTAATGAAAATGTGCCTTTTCTTTTGTGTGCAACAATAACATAAAATATCAAATATCAATACATGTAATATTTTGATTCCACTCACGTTAACCGAGTCTCTTAAACATGATTATGAGACTTTTACGTACTTAACAAAGTATTTGCATATTAATCGTTTGAAAATTATTAACAATAGTCGAGATTTTAAAACCTTTTTTATTTTTTGTCTTATAAGTAAACAGTGTAATTGGATATTTATACTAGCTAAAGGGGTAACATCATTCATGGGAGTCTGCAATATCAAAAGAGCAATGAATGTGATGTACATACATGAAATGGGACCTCATTCACATTTACTCATGTAGTCAGCCATAATTCTCTTTTTCTCACTTCTAGTAACAAAATAATTGCAAAAAGTGTGAAACTTTGATCTCCCAATTATAAGTTATAACTCACTTATAAGGACCAAAATTATAATTAATGCAAATTAAAAACTACAAGATCCAAAACTGTAATCAAATAGCAAATAGGGAACATTATATGTGTTTTTAGACTTTTAGAAAACTGAGAAGAAAATTCAAATGAAACTACAAATTTTGGAAATTGGGACAACCATAGGGAGGGAGATGCTTATCATGTCGACATGATATGGTTAAAAATAAATGCCCTTCCGAGACATAAACATATATGCTAAAAAAACATGGCCTACAGATGGCATGTCAAAGATAATAAAGTCTTGCAAATACATATAAAACACAAACAAGTTATTCAAAGAGGATAATAACCAACTATTAACATCTAATACACAAACAAGACCAAATACTTAAATGCCTAAATGGTTATATGTTAAGGTTTTACAAGCAAATGATATTACATAGGCAATTTGTAGATCATCTTTTCTTAAACCCATATTTTTTCCGTTCATAAAACAGATCTGTTTTTGCACTACCTAAATTCACAATTTTTGGGCACCCATCTCGATCTTTCTCCTGTTGTGTGCACTCTTTGCAATAGTATGCATCAGAAATGCCTACACCTCCACATATAACACAACGACCCTGAAATGAACCATAGTTGCACTCATCACACACACGTACAAGTGTGCAAGGACGCACATAAGAATCACATATCACACACTTTCCATCACATTTTTCACATAGCCTTCCAATTGCAATTCCTGGCTGCTTTCTGCACATGATCAAATCAGGATGATGCTTCGCCATTCTTTCCTTTCCCTTACAACTTTTTTTTAACTTACCACAACCTGCATTCAACAATAGTATCAATTTTTTTATTATTATTAGGATTCAACATCATATAATATGCCTCTTATTGGTCCATTAAGAAGCTGGGTCAGACTCAATTAATAACTATCAACTATCAAACAGCCCTGCTTCAAAAGGAGCCAATGATATTTAATCAACTAAATGATTTGCAATTTGCATTTTGATAAATATAACCTAAAGGATTTACGATCAAACATTATTTCCTCACCATACGAATCACAGGCACATCTTCACATCCGCAAAACGGATATTTTATTCAATCACATAAACAATTCAACAAATTCCTACAATTTCGTCAAAAACTGCTTAATCTTTCCCAACCTTAAAATGAAAAAAATCATAAAATATGGAACCCTAGCAGAACATCCATCCATAAAAAATAATACAGACGAAGAACTCAAAAACATTTTAAGCCAACTAAGATTCATACAACCATCTTTAAGAACACGTACGCATAAATAAAAATAAAGACAGAAACCCGTAACCTTATTAAACGAAAATCTAACCTGATGACAACTGAGACGCCCACGAAGAAACCCACCAGAAAGATGCACAACGTCAACGAGTCGATGCATCGATTAAAACTGGATTCCTCTACAACCTTATAGAAGCAAGCAAACCGACATAAGGCCCAGATTCTAACAAGCCCAAAACATAAGGGCTTTTTAGTTTTTAGAAAGGTCGGTTAGGCCCAATGGCGCATAGCCCGAAACAATCAGTTTCTATTCATTTAGTTCAGGATTCCATTTTCCATATAATAAAGTACTAAAAACAATGTCTTTAAGAAACCAAGCTTTACAAAGCTACAAATACATTACATCAAATGTTACGAGAGTCTATAAACAACGATACATTCGAGTTATTATCACACAATTAAAACCAAACGACAACCTAACAATACAGCAACATATCATAAAAGCCATGCTGCTAACTCGTAATAACTTTTACTTAATTATACAACAATAACAACAATTTTTATCCCCGAATCACAACCCCTGGAGCCTGAATATCCATCGTCCTTGGCACATCATCAATCAAACTTGTCGCCAAATTCCCTGCAGCAGCAGCAATAGAAGCCACCTTCTGCTGCTTATACGCATCGTTATGAACCCCTAATGCAGCCCTTCCTGAAGGGTCAAGATTCTTTGACCACGATGCATCCCACTCGATTGCTTTCTCTGTACTACAAGCTATACTCGCTCCACCTGGAACAGTCAACTTTGCAGAATTCTGGAAAAAGGAAACGTGTAAAGATTCCAAGTACTTGAATTATTGCATGATGTACAAGTCATAAGAACTAAGAACAAAGAACAAAGAACTTGCCTGAGGGAAAAACCGCTCGAAGATCATTCTGTAATAGTAGGCTTCTTTAGTGACTGGAGTGTTGAAAGGGAAGATATGTGCAGCGTTAAGCATCATTTTGTCTGTTACGTGGAGTTCAGCATGAGCTTTGAGTCCATCGATCCAGCTGTATCCGACTCCATCACTGAACTGTTCTTTCTGTCTGTATAAAATATGCTGTAGGTAGGAGATGATACATCACGTGTTAAAAGGAGAAACTTGATTATGGTTCGAAAGTCGAAACAGAGTTTGTTTTTTATTTTTATAAAAAGATTGATTTTGGAGACCTTTGGCAAATACGGGTGATCTTCATCGTCGAAAGCCCGTCTAAGAATCCATTTTTCAATTCGTTTTTCATCCATGTTGATCTGCAAATAAGTTCATGAAGCTTGTTGGTATCGTAAACTTTTAATTATAGGGGAAATTAAAAGCTCTGTTTTTTACCATTTTCGCTTCAGGGTCTATGCTCATGGCAACGTTGATGAATTCTTTATCTAAAAACGGGACTCGAGCCTCCAAACCCCAAGCGGATGTTGACTTGTTTGCTCTCAAACAGTCGTATTGGTGAAGTGCTTTTATCTGCGTTATGTAAATCACGATTCCGGCGAACTTAATTAACGACCTGATTAGGATAAAAAATAAAAACAGAGTCAACGATGAAGATACCTTGCGACAGGTTTCGCGATGGAGCTCTTCTTTGTTGGGTGCCTTGTGAAAGTACAAATATCCGCCAAAAATCTCGTCGGAGCCTTCACCGGAGATAACCATTTTCACCCCCAATGACTTGATTTTCCGTGACATCAGGAACATAGGTGTGCTAGCTCTGATTGTTGTCACATCGTATGTTTCGATATGGTAAATTACATCTTCAATTGCATCAATACCATCCTGTACAGTGAAGGTGAACTCGTGATGAACAGTTCCCAAATAATCAGCTACTTCTCTTGCTGCCTTGAGATCCGGTGAACCCTGTTTTATAGGTCAAAAAATGGAATCAGAAAAGTTCCAATCACAAATTTCATGTTTCCAAATGGAAAGAAAAGCTTTATGTTAGTATGTTACCTCTAAGCCGACACAGAAGGAATGAAGCTGAGCTCCCCACTGCTTAGCAGCTTTTGTACTGGATAAATGACGGGAGGTGATGGCTGCGACCAACGACGAGTCTAGCCCACCGGAGAGGAGAACTCCGAAGGGTACATCGGTCATTAATCTCTTGATCACGGCCTACAGTTCACGTTTATCGTTTTCTCAACACTTGATGGTGATATAAGTATAAAATTATATATATGGAAAACATTAAAGAAAGAAATCTCACGTCTTCGAATGCATGCCTGAGAACGAGAGGATCATATGGCGTAGAAGGAATAGCTTCGGAGAACCATGGTGGGTTGTACCACCGCCGGAATCCGCCGGTTTTGCTAGAGTACAAGTGGCCCGGCGGAAACACCTCAAAGTGCTCGCAGTCGTCGTTCAAACCTTTCAGTTCAGACGAAATCCAAACAGAACCTGAACAAGAACAAGAGGACTACTGTTACTAATTTGCTCTATAATCAATGAAAAAAACAGTATGATCGAAAGCATTTGATAATCACCATCGAGTCCCCAACCAATGTACAGCGAGGTGATCCCGATAGCATCACGAGCAGCTATGTAAGTGTTATCGCGTGTATCAAGTAACACGAACGAAAACATTCCGTCCAACATATCGATGAAGTTTTCGCCATGTTCTTCGTACTACAAAACGTCAACAAGCTCGATTACATTCAAACCCACAATCTCAACAATAAATTTTATAACACAATTCGTAATTACTTACTAAATGGGCAATAACGTCACAATCACTCCCCGTTTTGAACTTATGACCTGTCAAGCTTTCTCGGAGCTGCTCGTGGTTGTATATCTCACCGTTAACCTGCATTTCCGATCGAAATTAGAGCTAAAATTGAAGGGTTTGATAATCTAACAAACTGATTCATCGATCATTAATGTCACTCAACCCACCGTTACAACGATCGTTTCGTCTTCGTTATAGAGGGGTTGATCACCGGAAGCAGGGTCAATGATGGCGAGACGTTGATGCGCCAGATAACAATCACCGTGCTGATATAACCCACTCCAATCTGGGCCACGGTGCTTCAATCTGTACAAAGTTCACATACATATAAACAACGTTGAGAAGATATTTTGGTAATCGATTTCATCTCCTATGAGAATTTTGGTTTTCAAATAATATAAAATTAAGTATGGGAAACAAGAACATGCCTGCGAGAGAGCTCGAGGACACGGACCCTTTTGGCCTGAGAGTCATCGGAGCAACCCAAGACGGCTAGTATTCCACACATGGCTACCGTACAAGTAACGATGCACAAATTACAAGCGGCGGGAGAAAGTTAAGGAGGTGAAGAGCGAAGAAGAAGAAGAAGATGAGGAAAATGTGGAGGATGAGAGTGAATGAATTGGTAGGTTATGACGGTTTCATTCGCCGCTATTTATAGACGGTTCCGGCGACTCCTTCATTCGTCCTTTTTCTTCAAATATCTTTATTTTATTTTATTTTATTTTTTAAGCGGCGACGTTTCTCACCGTTTTGGTTGTTTTATTGTATATTTTCGCTGTGCATTGCGTTTAGAAGTACGTCACTAATTAGATAATTAGACTATTGACATATAGATGCTTATATCATTATCTCCGATGGTAAGCATATGCGAATAAAAGTTATTGTTGCTCGTCGTTTCATTGATTTTTTGATGTTTAATTATTTACATCTCCAAGGATAAATTTAATTAGATCATCATTATTTATCTAAAAGATTATAAATATATTTTTATTTATTTAATATTATATATTATATATGGTCTGTATTAAATTTTATTCTAATTTGTAAATATATAAAAATTTGTACCATTTAATATAAATAATAATTATGTATTAAAGAAATAAAAATTATTTAAATGTAAAATAAAATTAAAAAGATAAAATAAAATATTATTAAAAAAATTTAGTTAGATAAACAAATTATTATATATATTATATTAACCAATCAATATAATAAGATATTGACCGATCAATAGATATTAAATAATTAATAAAAAATAATAATGTAAAGTAATAATTATTGGTTAAATTAAATAAAAAGACTTGCGTTTGATAGGTTTTTAGAATAAAATATAAACGTATATAAATATTTATTTTATAAACAACAATAATATGCAATAAAAAATATATTAATTTGTAATTACTTTGAAACATATTTAAACATAAACAATTTATTAGAATCACATCATCTAAGTGTTGCATTCAATTGCATTTGAATAAAACTATATATGACTTTGATTGGATCATATTTTTCCATAGAGTTTTTCTATATGCAAGGAAGAAAAACTTATAATGACAACTCCATCATTAATTTAATTAAAAAAATAATAAAGAGAGAGAGAAAGTTCTTAAGTTCCAAATGACAAACGAAGAGAGAAGACGAACGACAAAAACAACATTTTCTCTTTCCTCATTCGCAGATGCTTCTTCAGTCGGTGCTGCTTCATCGTGCTCTTCAACGACTGTTTCTTCATCCCACTTTCAAATGGAGTGAACTTATATACATATATGTTGCTTCATCCTCCTGATCTCCATTACGCGACCTACAATTCTCGTTGGTATGTGTGTTCATCCAAAAATCGATCAAGGGATGTGTGTTCATTTCATCATTTGCAATTCCCATCGGTTTGAACCAATTGAAGGACCCTCCTTGACCTAGAATACTCTTGCGTGTGTCTAATGCGTGTTCATCGACAATTACAATCAGTATCTTTGTGTGTTTATGTGTTCAATTAAAGATCATCTGATTAGGTAGGTTGTTCTTTAATTATCCAGAAGTTCTTTTTTAACATCTAATTGTTATTCTTAATTAATTTATTATCAATTAGTATTGCTTTCTTGTTTAATGTTGATTTGTGCACGTAGACTATAATCAATTTTGTAGTTATTTTGCAATGCTAAGTTGTGATGAACCTTTGAATTGTTTCTCATGGTGAATCTTTGAACTTGTAGGATGGGTTGAATCATTTGTTGTATCTATTTCTTTTTGTGATTTTGTAAGGAAATCTCCTATGGAAGAATAGTTAAATGGTATAAAAAGGAAACCAATGATCTTTCTTCTTTATTGTTTATTAGTTATAACATTATAATTAACTGTCACCTTAAAAATAATTATTAATATTTTAAATATTATAACAAATTTATCTCTCACCCTTTTATATATATATATACTTCTTTTTTAAGTTTATTGAAATGTCAATTTTACATTTAGAAAAATAAACCTTCTTCGACTATTTAGAAATAAAAATAGTCTTTGAATATTTTTAAATTTATTTGATATTTTGATTATATTCAGATTTAACATCATTTTTAAATTAATATATTAAATATGTTATATTGATAATGTAAAAAGTCCATCGTTAACACGATAATATTTACATTCAATAACATATTTAAATTGATAAATTAAATATGTTATGTTGAAACAGGAAAAGTGATGTGAGTTTCAAATATATATGATGTAAGAATATGGAAATTTTATAAGATAATAGACAAATGTTCACATTTTGTGCAAGTTAAAATTTTGACAAACATATTTTATTGAAAATGATTATGTCATTAACATTAATTATGAATTTTTATCCTTATTTGATATATAAAACTCTATCGATTTTGAACAATATGATAAAATTTATTTATATTAAAATCATATTACTTAATAACCTCTACCTGCAACTTGTATATCAATAAAATTAAATATAACTCTTGATTTGATGTTACTTTCAAATATTGTTATGATTAATTAATTTAAAAATTATTTATTTGTCCATATTTTAATTCAAATCATGATGTTTATATAAGATATCAACCATTGCTTTTAAGATAATGCAACATAACTTAGAATTTTATGTTACTATTACAACACCCGTCTTCCAGAATGGATCAGGTGAAGGATTGGTGGGATTTGAGATCAGATTTTTTTTTTATAGGAAAACCTAGGTGTCACGGCATAGTGATTGGAGCACCACGACATGGCGCATTTTGTGCATGATCGTGCATTTAGCTGGTCACCACGATGTGGCAAGGGAAGGTCACGACGTGGCGGCTCAAACCCTTGATTTTTAGGGTTTCCTCCATATTTAAACATCTAATATCAAGGATTGTGGTATCTTTTTCAGCCTCCAACCCTTTCAAACAAAACCCTATCCTCTTTGGAGCGATTCTTGTTGTATTAATGGTGATTCTTGAAATTTGAAACTTTAGCTTGCATTTTGGAAGAAGTAGGGGTGTGCTTGCTAATTGGAAGAGTGCATCACTTCAGATCCTACACCTCACACATCTTGTGGAGCTTTGGAAGGTATAAAGCCTCCACCTTTTTGGTTCTTCCTTCATAGATATAAGATTTATAGCATTTCTTGGCTTATATTTGAGTTTGGGTTGGTTTGATGAGATAAATTTTGCAACTTTATAGCCCATATTGGTTCTTTGGTCACTATATCTTTTGGATCTGAAGTTTGATTGTGTTTTGAACTTCATGCATGAGTTTTTTTTTTTTTTTTTTTTTTTTTTTTTTTTTTTTTTTTTTTTGTCTTTTTTCCCCATTTGACCTAAATTGAGATCTAGACTTGCATTAGACATGCATGACTGTAAAGCTATAATTTTTATGATGGAATAGAAGTGAGAAGTCCTTCTGGAAGTTATGGATTTGTGGATTTGGTTATTAAGAGTTTTATGGTTGAGTCCATGCCTTAAGTTGTCTTTAAGACTCTAGGTCTAAGAGATTTAGACTCCTTGGGATGTCTTAATGTGTAAAGTTGGAAACTTTACCCATCAATACCTTGGGAAGGACTAGATCTTAGCTTTGGAGCTCTTGAGGTTGAAGAAAAACATATTAATCCATTAAGTTGTTGAGACCCAATCGCCACGACATGGCAAAGGGAGGCCATGACGTGGCGATTGGGGGTTGCCCAATTATTTAGTCTTTTTCTCCCGTGTCATGGATAATGAGTGACCACGATGTGGCGATCTGCCGAAGAAGACTTTTGTAACATCTATTTTTATAGGTATTTGCTTTTGGACCCTTGAGTTATGAATTGTTTGCAATAAGGGTCCATAATGGCAATTTCCTGACTTTTGGGTGCTGCTTGAGTATGTTGGGTGTACACGTTGGTATGTTGGGTGTATTGTGATACGCGCCAGTACGTTGTGCATACTCTGGTATGCTTGGCGTACATGGTTCATATCAAAACCCTAACATGTAGGGTTTATGCACTATTTATGCACCATTATAGCCCCAAGACCTTTCCGTTTATCAACCTCCATCCCAAGATCAACCCTCCTTGAAAACCCTTGTCCATTTTAAGCTTTTGAAATGAGTTATGTGATTCGTTGTTTATGAAGAAGGATCTTCAAGGAGTAGGTTTTTCTCTCAAGACTTTAGATCCAACATCTTCTCTTTATTGTGCACAATTTGGAGGTATAAAGGTCTAAACTTGGCTAATGTTTTTTTAGATCTTAGTTAAGCCTTGATTTTCATCCTTTTTGTCCCAAAACCAAGAGCTTGGTGAGTAGGAGGTACTCCAAAGTCTTTAAGGTGTCCTTGCAGACATTTAAAGCATTTTAAGTCATAAAAATGCAAGCTTGGATCCTGATTTGTCCCCATGCAAGAGTTATGGTGTAGAAAAGGTTTGGGTAAGCTAGGTTTTTTAGTGTTGGGCTTCTTGTAGCCATGCAAAGGCATAATGTTTGCAACTCTATGGCCTTAGGGGTCATATTAAGCTCAGATTTGAATTTTGGTTGTATGGTCTTAAGGCAGTAAGACCTTATTATGGGTTTTGCCTTAGGGGTGCGTACGTTGGGCGCAATTCATAGTATGTCGCACGTACTGCACCTCAGTCTCAATCCATGCCCGTATCGGTTGAGTACGTTATGTGTACCAGTTGGTACGCTAGGCGTACGACCCAATCCAACTTTGATGATTTTGGGCCTTAAATCATTGGGTTTTTCTTGTTGGTCTTGGACCATAGATTTTCATGGTAATTGGGTCACTTTTGATTTTGGGTCCTTTTTGGACTTTGGATGATCTTTGGGGTTGGGTTTAGGATTATATTATGCTTAAAAGAAAAGGATAAATTGGCCCTTTTACCTTGGACATTAGGCAAGTAATGTAGGTTTTCAGCTATGGGTTATGTCCTAATTATTAATTGAGGCTTTGTCTGTTTAGTTAGCATGAGGATTTTTCTAGTCTAGCAGCCCGAGGATTTATCTGGTTTTCCAACAGTTGAGGTAAGTTTCCTCACTAGATATTTAGTTCGAAGGCACCAATGTCAAACCATTGCTTGTTGTGTAGAATGTTAGATACCTTGTGATAATTATATGGAAGACCAGGATCTGGCCCCTGGAATTTGCATGAAAGACTAGGGTCTGACCCCTGGCAGTTATATGAAAGACCAGGATCTGCCCCCAACATTTGTATGCAAGACAAAGATTTGGCCCTCGAAACGAAACGAAAAGA